TTATTATAACTATATATATACTATTTTGAGTTCGACTAATTTTATCATGTCATCACCATTCCAATAAAAAAGAACTATGTTCCTCTCCTTTCCATTATGTGTCTCCGCAGTTCCTGCAACCTTGACTGCATTCCAACTGCTCGTAGAAACGATGTAAACGATTCGCTGTCATAGATGATAGATCTGAGCTGAAGTCTGGAGCAGTACTAGCGCCATTGCTACGATAAGTTTTACGTCCGCTCAACTCATACTCTGTCCGTCGTACGTTCCTTCGCTTGCTTGCCTTAAAGCGATTGGGCTTTTCTTTGTGATGCTTACTATGACATTTATCACAATCGATGGTATCCAAAAGTTGCATTAAATGCGCAGTTTGCGCGGCCATAAGATCGGTGGTCAGATTGAAACGGAAATCGTGATTTTGCATAGCGGCCATATCCTGCGTTCGATGCGGGTTATAGTTAGTTAAATGACCTCCACTGCTGTGGGGTAATGTTCGTTGCTGATAGTTCGCATGGTTTTCTGCTCCAATTGGTTGTATGTTATATGTATTTGGCGCTTCCCCACAGCCGCGTGGGCAAATTAACAAATTCTCCTTTAAAACATTGTCCTCAGTAATAACCGCATATAGATTGCCTCCACATAGCGTACAAATATGTGTGATGCCCTTGCTGTCCATCAAAGCATGATCTTCTCTGTCATAATTATTGGACTTTCTGCTGACGTTGGAATTTTCCTGCCAAACAACCATATTTCCACTTTTATTTTTGGACTTCAGTTCCATATCATTAAATTTTGTATTGAGTTCGTGAATAATGTTTTCGGCCATTTTATAATAGGAGTACTTTTGCCATAAAGTGAAGAAGTTGGATGTTGATTTGTTGTACACAAATGTGTTACTGAAGATTTACTTCGCGGTGTGTCCCTATATATACAAAAACACCTGGACATTCGAAAACTCAAAACAGGTGAAACGTGCTCAGAAAACCTAGTACAGGTAAAATATAGAAAACAGGTAGAAGGATTTAAAGAAAGGTAATACGCAGGTAGACGGCAGAAGTTCTACAAAACAAACGACACTGAGAAACAAAGGAAGTCATTACAAAATGTAATGTAATAAAGAAAATTGAAAAATGTCGATTTAGAATCGGTTTTATTCTTTAGTAATATAATGAAAAATCTCGACTTATACTGAATTTGTAAAAGTATTAAGTCGTTTTAATAAATTGTATAAGAAAACTTTCCGATGTCTGGGGTTCGATAAGACCTAACCTGGGATTACGGGCGTTTTGAAAAAATTTGAATTCTTTTTGCATTTTTCACAGTTGTTCTAATAGGATGACCTCGTGATGGATCGAAGAACTTTTTTTCGATTATAGCTAATTTGATTATGTTAAACGAAGAAACGAGCCTAAGCAGTAAACAGCTGGAATCTCTTCAACGACCGGTTCTCATGAGCAGGGGCGTTGCACAACATACAACACCAACGAGGACTCTTAATGTCATTCAACAGATCTATATAGAAGCCGTTGACATAGTTCGATTGTTTCTCTGATACTTGAATCACTAAGACCTCCTTTGCTAGGAGCATCTCTTTATTCATTAGGCTGCAAACGAGCTCGTGTACACTAGGTACTTTCTTCTTCCGTGGGCAGCTTTCGCCAGACTAAGGTTGAAGCGTCCTTGCCATACTTTCTACGAACCCGTAAAATCGACTGGAGCATATATTAGCCAGCTTTACGCGCTTTGTAGATATACATTTTGATTCGGACTAAGGGGTTCTGGACATCATAACGGACGGCATTAATTGTGGTCTCACGAATATCAGCCTAAGCTTGAACCTAACTCATTTCAGAAGTAAATTGCGTAATAAGAGTTTAAAGAATCTCAATATTGCAGCATCCATTCAGAAAGTTCTACGATTTTACACTGCTCTGTGATAAATTTTTATTATAAACATCAACTTCTCTGATTGCAATTATTTTCTCAGTGCCGTATTAAATTCGAAAGCTTTAAATCAAACATTTATGAATCAGTCAGTGCGTCAGCTATCATGAATTTTGCAAATCATTTCGAATTTCAGCTTTAAAGTGCATCCTATTCGATTATGCTCGCAGCTAAATCACCACATTAATGCTCCAAACGAAGTGAAAGTTTGCCAATACACTTTCAGAGGCAAAAATTGCGCTGAAGTGGCTCTTCGCAGCGATTAACACGAGCGTACATTTCAACAAGCACTTCAATGACGAAATAAAGCTCATTAGTATAATTTTCCCTTTCCGTTAACGACATAACTGTCGTGCTGCAGCAAGTTTGTCTGCAGTTTTTAGATGAACGCAAATCCTGCTGAGTATTATTTTCATCCTGCGCCACTTCCTACGACATAGATAACTCAAACTTGTGCATCGTATGCTAACGAGCACGAGGTGCGGCATGAGAGTTGAGTTGAAAAAATGCTTGAAAAATGCATTTGAGTAATGTTGAAAGTGACTTTCTAATGAGTCGAACAGCTGAACGACATCGTCATTCAATATTTCGCCACCACAAACCGGTTCGATTACTGCTGTCGCTGGAAGTGCAAAATATTCGTTGGTTGTGCTTCTATATCTGTCTGTATTTATATGTATATAGAATATATACATATCAACGTTACTGTGAAATTGTCTCCGCGTCTAAAAATTTACAATTTTATTATACTCTTTAACTACTACTCATTGCAACTGCTAACTATCAGTACTTAGCTGCGTAGCGCTATAACCTCATCTCCTCAAATCTGTTAGTCAGCATCCAATTTTTTCCTGATTACTGCCAATACCCCTCTTTCGCTGGCGTTCGCACGTTCCACCAGCAATCGCCTGCCACTAAAGTCGAGCGTCCTTATTAGTGATTGGAAATTGTGGCATCCACAAGTGCACAGATCTACATTTCGTGTCCTACTCGGGCGCACCCGCTGCTCCACACGCTCTCCCGTTCACTCGTCATCCGTTTGTTGGGAGTGAAAAAGCAGTTTTAGAAAATAGTTTGACCCAGTCCGCAGTTTGTCATTTGCTAACAACACGCCAAAAAAGTTCGTTGCGCCTGAGTGATTCCTTCATTTTTTCCCACTTTTGTGGAGTTTCTGTTTCCAGCAACGTACTTGTATGTCGCTAGTTGAAAAAGAGAATCGTATAATAATAGCTGAAGTAGGGTATGCAAATCTAGGTTGACAATAATTTTTACGCAGTTCGATTGACAAAAGTGGTGGTCGTCCCCCGTCCTTTAAACTTTTTGCAACTCTGCATTAACACTGAACTGATTTGCGTTTTACATTTCCGGTTTTTGCGTGAGTTGCATTTGTTCTCATTCACTTTCGTTACCTTATTTTTAATTGATATCTTCTTTTCACGTTTATATGCTTTATTTACATTTGCCTAGTGACCCTAATTTTGTTGGCTTCCTGGTGTGAGATTATATATTTCTGATGAAGTTTTTAATAGGATGTACCAAAGTAATAGGGGCCAATAAAGATGTCAGTTGAAAAAGCCTCATAGAAATATTAGCTACAAAATCGTATGAATCAGCCGGTTACTAAGATCCACCAGTTCGACCTTTTTAATTTCTTAAATTCCGGCTCGAAATTTTTTTTGGCTTCCGAACTTTTCAAATGCTTCGTAATATGCTCAATGGAAAACATAAAGGTTTTCAGACTTTGTTAGACCTCCCAAATTTTCAAATTTGAGGTTAAGGTCATCGTCCAATCACTTAAACTTAAATCTCAAACAACTACAAACAAATATGCCTCATAAACATTTTATGAAATTTATATTTTATCAAGCTAACATTTCCTACGGAAAGTACAAAATATTAAGCATAGCCAAAATAGTGGGTTAATCATCAATGACATCCAAGTAAATAAATTGCTGTTGCAGCTCCTCAAGTGAACTCACTAAATCCTCTAAGGGGCAATGCTCAGATACAACCTGCACATCAAAAGTCGGCTGCGGTACAACTATCGCAACCGGCTGCTCCCTAAAATAACAATGATCATGGTAATATGACTGTGGGGTGTTTGTAACATAGCTGTAGATTTCGGAGCTGGTGTTTCCAAATTCCATGATAACTTTACGGGTACGAGAGCTGACAGGTGTAAACTTTTTAAAAAAGCAGGTGAAAAGTCGTGCTAGAGGTTTAATTTCAAAATGCAAACTGATCTTTCGAAGGAGCATTCGGTGCATTTTATGCAGTTCTTGAAGCTTCTTGAATGCTTTAGAAGAGCTGGTGTTAAGCGTTGCAGATAGGTCAATTCTTTGGAATCTTGCATACGGATGGACGAAGCAGTATTAGCGAAAGTGCTTTTACTTTTTAGGGRCAGTTAACAATTAATAGCTATTTCTTTGTTTAAGGCACATAACTGATGATATTTTGCACTTTCTTCGTAAATTAGTAAGAAGATGCTTGAGTGAGAAAAATTGTAGTTCTCGAAACAATAAATTGAAAGAAAAGGTAATGAACAATTTTCGCCACATTTTTCTATGAAATCGGCGAGAGAAAGGGTTAAGTATCTTTAAAAAAAAAGAATCATATTCTGCTAATCTATCTAAGAATTATATATACTAGGCTTTACCGTTACTTCGATAGACTATGAAATTTATTAATTCATATAAAATAAATTGTGTTCAAGGTTTGTGTTCAAAACTTTCTKTTTTGATTTCGTAGCAAGCAGGTACCAAGGTATTTAAGCTCTACATTAAAGTTGGTACCGCCTCTAATTAAATAATTAGCTTACGTAAGGTTTTTATCCGATTCTTTTGTATATTTACCTAGAAAGCAATTAACGATCTCAAAAGAATAAAGGTCAAACTGTTTTGTTAAGCTTTCTAAAAAATTAAAATAAAACAATATCTACCTGCTAGATTAATCCCCCATATTTAGAACACGCAATGCTTAACTACCTAGCAGATCGTACTAATTTTTGCTATAAATTGCTGCAAAATATCGGAGTGAGGATCAGTTAGCGCTGAGAAGGCAGTACCGGTGTGTGAAAGAAAAAAATAACCGAAGTCATGTTGAACCAAAGTATCCGTGTTTTTCTTGCAAAAAATCTAAACATTGACGGTTATCAGGCTTATGTCGCACTTCATGATTGTATTGTAACCGAAGCGCACGAGTATATGGCATTCAAACGTGAAACTGTACAAATTGGGAGTTCGGTATATCAAGGTTTCGAGCTCAAAGCAAGATCTTTGCGGGATGTAAATGGCGCACTGTTTTACTACTGTCCCTGCCGTTGTGGTTTCGTATATGATGCGAATCTGGTACCATACCGCCCAGTCGCTGTGGAATACATACCACAACCGGGGCTAGTGGAGCCGCAAGATTTTGAATTGAAACAATATTTCTTAGACATACAACGGCAACAACGTGGACACCAACCCCAACTGCTACAACAACTGATCGAGAACCCACACCAATATATGTTGCAATATCAAAATTATATGAACCAACATTACAATAGATTTCTGCATCTGACGGCACCGCAGGCACCCGGACGACCAAGTCATCATGCCATTATCACTCCAGTAGAGAACCCACGAGTGGTAGAACCCCTCCAAAACTTAGAGGTACACAATCATCAACAACGTGCTGCTGCTGAAGAAGAAGTAAATGTGGAAAGAGCAGGAGATGAGTTGGAAGAACAAGCGCGTATTGTAGTTGATGATGAACAAGAGGTGGAGGTGGAGGTAGAGGTAGAAGAAAAAGAGCAAATTGTGGCTGATATTGATGAAGGAGAGGAGAATCAGGAAGAACAGCGGGAAGGTGTTGCCGATGCACGAGAAGAGGAAGAGAAGGAGGAGGAATTTGAATATCAAGAGGAGGAATTTGAATATGAAGAGAATGAGGAGGACGATGAAGAGGAACGAGACGTGGAAGAACAAGAGCATATTGTGGTTGATAATGATGAAGAAGAGGAGAAGAAGGAAGAACAGCCGGGTGTTGTTGCTGATGCCGAAGAAGATGAGGAGGAGGAGGACGAATTTGAACATGAAGAGAATGAGGAAGACGATGGAGAGGAAGAAGAACGAGATGAAGAAGAGGGAGAAGAAGAACAGAGAAATGTGTTGGCACCAGCATTAGAAGAACAGCAACGCGCTGCTGCAAATGAAGAAGACGAAGAGGTAGCAGAAGATCAAGAGCTAGAAGCAGATGAAGTGCTGGAAGCAGAACCAGACGGAGAAGAAGCGCAGCAGCATAATGCTGGTGCTAACGAAGAAGAAGAACAAGAAGGTATGGAGATTTCTGATGCTGAAGAAGAAGAAGAAGAGTTAGAAGGTCAAATGGAGATTTCCGATGATGACGAAGAAGAGTATGGATATTTGTTGCCACAACCATTAGAAGAACAGCAACCATATTTTGTTGATGAAGGGGAATATGATGAAGAAGAAGAGGAAGATGATGATGATGAAGAGATAGAAGAAGAAGAGCTGCAAAATATGGTACAAGAGCATATGTTACAAGCGAAACCAATACAATGTTACGCAATTTCTTCGACAAGTTCGGATGACTCAGAAGAGGATGCGATATATATGGACGACGTTTTTCCACCAGCCGTCAATGAATGGGACGTTATTCAAAGCCAGAAAATAAGTAGTACAGCCAAAGTGGAAGGTGACATGGATGATGATGAAAATGACTGGAGCACAGACAGCGCCGATGAAGATTACTACTGATCACTATTATACACTGTTGATCAACATATAAGGAAACAGTGGGCGTTAAGCTGCAGGGTTATCAATTAATGTGGCACTGGCTTTATCCTTAGCCACTGGATTAGCTTGTAGAAATTTGTGGCAGGGTTAGCCTCCGAAAATGGATTTAAAGTCCTCGAAAATTGTTGGGTGGCAAAGTGCAAGCCACTCACTCCATTTCAGCCGAGCACAGAGTAGCGGCAGAAGACTTGGGAAAAGTCTAATATTACGTATTATCTAGTTACACTTATATAACATGTGTTTGTATGTAAACTGTAAATATAGATTTTTTGTAGATTTGTATAATAAAAATATTAAATTTGAATTTTGAAAAGAATTTTGTTGGAAATAATTCCGAGAAATGCTGTCGGTAAGTTGGAAGGGCGATCCACGTTCTTATCGGGGCGTCAGTCTTCTTCCAGTACTTGGGATCGAGTGGTGCAACGGCCGGAGGAGCTTGGCTGTTCCGAAGTTACTCTCTGGCAGAGTTAGTTGCCTGGCAGAAAGGCCTCTATAGTCGACATGAATGGGAGTGTGGAGATTGGAGTAGTTCGTGGCTGTCCGTAGGGTCCATACATCCAACAGGTATGTGACGTAAGTCCAATACTGGGGAGCATAACTAATTTTGAAAGAGAAACCCATGAGAAAGTTCAACTCTCTGTCAAACGGTATCCAAGCTAGGAAGGAAATTATTACAACAAAACACTTGCTAGATATCTTGATTAAGGAAAAAAGGTAAAAAAATAAGGTGCGGACACAAATTCACCCACCATAACCATGAAATACAAAAACTGCTTCGTGATTAATTCAAAGCACAGCCATACATATGCATAGTAAAAATTACGGACACATTATGCACAACAGCAAACAAAGTTTCAGCTCTTAATTTGATTCAGCTCCACTTCAAACTTTCTTCTAATTTATGTATGCGTGCAAGTGTGTATGTAGTGATCACAAATCAGTTGCTCCGTTTGACAAGCTGTTAATAAAATACTCGTAGTCTAAGCCGACACACACACAGCAGTCACTCTCCCGTTGAGCCTGTCATTGTGTCAGCTGTTGTAGTCACTAAAAATCAAATGAATTTGCACTTAATTTGTTAAAGCAGTTAGTGCAAGGTGTTACTGCCAGTCAACTCTGCGCAGCCCCTTAACACTGCACACTTGAACCGACCGACCGACCGAATTTGCTTGACCACCTCTTCTTGTTCGCACAAACCACAAGAAACACCTGCAATACAAACAAAGTAGAGGAAAAAGCAAATTTTAACGATTTACCACCCATTCGATTCGTAGCACGTCGGCCTGTCCGCACTCGCACTCAGACCCGGAAGTGTCCACTCATCTGTGGCAACTTGACGTGCAACTCACTTTAATCCTCATTTCCTTGCTCGCCTTGTTCGGCTCAAGTATTTGCACAAGGTGTGTATTTGCATTTGTCTGTTTACCTGTGTACGTGTGCATGAATGTCGGTTTGTGTTTACGAGCAAATGCCTGTACGCTTGTGTTTGTGTGCTGGAAACTTTCACCTGAACTACTTGGGGGAAAAAGGTGAAGTGTAAATTGTGTGAGTGTGGGAAAAATCAGCTTTCGTTTAGCGTTAAGTGCCATTCAGTTGTTTAATGCTTCCGTATTTTCATTTGCAGCTGTTGCTACTTTTGTTGTTGTCTTTTTTTCTACTACTTCAATTTTGCATTTTGTGATTTGGCAGGTGGATTTTTATGCTTCTGGTGAAAATTGGTAGGATTATTTGACTATTCGGTTCGCTGTTTTGAAATTGAATAAAAAAATCAGTTCTAAAATGTTGTCACAGTATACAAAGAAATGTACTTCTGTCCTAGGGATGCATAAGCTTTCAGACTTGCTGAGAGTATAATGACCAAAATTTCAGGGAAACTGTCGAAAAGCAAAGTCAATCTTTCCGAAATTATAAGCGAATCGGGGTTTTGGATCAATGCCACGACTTAACCTTACCTAACCTTTAAAGGTGGGTTCAGTGGGAAAGTAGGAAAGACAAAAGACTCCACGTCCGGAGTACTCCATCATCTATAGTTTCAGCCTACCTAATCACTTTAGCGACTTTCAAGCGGAGGTGGCTACYATCGAGGGTGGCCGATGAAATGGCTAGAGAGAGCAGACTTTTCTCAGTTTCATCAGATTGGAATCGAGTTGATGGAAGTCGAGCCGGTTCTGTGATGACTAGCGTTCTGGCGTTGGACCTTTAGACCTCCAGAGAGCTCAGCAAACGCTGGTCAATAATCAAACCTTGTGATCCTTCTGGCCCAGAGTGAATTATAAGCGACAATCCGGTGAATCATAAGAGAGCCAGCATGGCTCCTAGCAAAATTAAACTCTCTACAGTTTAAGTGAAGCTAACTTTACCTATCCTTTATATTAAACCTTAAGCAGGCTAAAGATATTGAATTTTGCAACTCTTCAGAAACTTTGTCAAATTTTGAACTTTCTCATATATAAAAGTTTATATGATGACCACTAACCAGTACATTCCGTATATATGCATTGTTATTGAATGCAAATTTGAACTGTATTACGCTACGCTTTTACCCTGGCACTAAAATTTTACGTCAGAATTCATACTTACTATATGTAGTTATTTGTATAAATATTTATTTACTTACGCATCTATTTATTGTTGCTCACTGATTTTCAGGTGAAAAATTTCTGTCCAGTACTCAACAAATACTCGCTCGCCTTGCCACACCTCCTTTCAAATAAAATTAGCTTGAAAATCTGACGTGTGAAACACTTTTGTTTTCTTTCCTTACTGACTTTATGAAAATCAAATTGAAGTTGACGGCGCAAAACAAAAACAAAAAACGAAATAAGCAAGAACTCGTATGGTATACGTTTAAGAAGCTCTTCCGGGCTGTTGACTTACAATACATAATGATTGTGTTTTTTTTCCTTTTCTACCGTTGGTAATTTATCAAAATTCCATTCGTTAACAAAAAAAAATTGCTCGTTGCTTGTTTTTGTTATCCTTATTATCCTGCTTTTCTTATGCATGGCACCTTTGACAGAAACCAGCACGCCGAAACTCCTCTTCGTTTATTAGTCACAGGCGTTTCTGCCATCAACACTCTTTGCACGTTTGCTTCCACTTCCTGGTTTCACCTTTTTGTTGTATTCAGCCAAATTCTCTACCGTCTTTCCTTCCGCCCAAACCTTGTCTTTGCTCAGCCAATTCTCTGCTGTCTTTACTAGTGCCCGAGCCTTGTCTGCGCGGCGTTCAAATATGCTAATAAGCAGAAATTTCGCATTCGTCGAAATGTGTAAAATAAATATTTGGACAAAAAATCGTGTGCTGCATTGAAGGCGTTGGAAATAGGGGCAAGTAGCGAGAAACGGCAGAAGAAAAGCTACTTAAGTACSGTGTTTTGACGAAGCATAAAGATTGTACTATATTACTATTGGATAACGAATATTTCACGTCGAGAGATTTGATTTTATTTTCGAGGAGATTTTTTATGTTGAGTATTTAAATTCAGTTATATGTAGTTTACTGGGCAACTATTTTCTGACCTTCAATATGCTTAATTCCAGGTATTAACTATTTTTATAACTATAAATCGTATCGACTTGGAAAAAAACAGGGTTCTATTTTCTGTGTAAATCGTATGTTTTAGAATTGATACCAGTCAAGAACATAGTAGATCCAATAACATTTATTTGTTTGGGAACGAAATTCTAACTTTTCGATTCTATCAGAGAAATTTGGTATAAGCGTAGATGGTCCGTTCAGCCTATATAACCAATTTATAGGTTACTTAGAGCTGATAAAAATCTGATGATCTAGCGGCTACCCAAACTAACTAAAAGTGTTGTAAAATACTACCAAGTTGACAGGCTTTGACGCGGTAAGAAATCGGTTACGCAGACTGTCACGAAACGCAATTGGAGTATTTAAGTGTATATAGTGCTTGAACTGTTATGTTCAACTTTGGTACGCCGCAAGAGAACGCGGTTGAATGGATAAAGTTATGAAGGCAGCATGTTGCAACATTTGGACTGTCCTTTTTTATAGGTTGATTTTAGCATGCTCGTACGGACTTAGATGCTCACTTTGCATATTTTTCGAATACTTTCCTTGCCAACCGTTGAAGGTCATTATAGATAGTATTGTGTTCTTTTTATCAATACTGTACCACTATGCAACAGAATTTACAAAACCGACCTTTCAGCGACAAGAAGACAATCGTGGCAACTGCCTACCCAAAGCGAAGAAATAATAAATTTGCAGGAGAAACACATAAGCAACGGCACATTCATACAAATGTTAAAATTGAGAGTGAGTCGACTCACAATGTCTGACAGTCCGAGCAGTGCTTGTCAACGCCAACAGGTCATACGCCCTCGGCATAGCCAAAGTGTCTGCTTCGACACTTTGCTCGCGCGGCAACAGACAGTGAGGCAAMGAATCAAGGCGATATTACAAWCCCAAAAGATCGATGAAAGATTCACTGGAGTTCGGGCTATGCATAGGACGGCAGCGCACAACATAGCACAGCACTACTTAAGTGCGCATTGCTCGCAGTTCGTGCGTTCGTATGTCCTATCTGAGTAGTGTTTTAAATTCGGTGTCAAAAACGTTTTATTTGCCCATATTTTATTGTTGCTGAATATTGGTGCGTGGCAGACACTTCCGGGTGTACAAAAACAACATCTTTATTGCTTGCACTGTCGCGCTTGTTTGCTTCGTCGTATACCATCGCCTGCTTATATTCGTTGGCATTTTATTAATGGTGTTGGTTTTTGGATTATTTAACGGTGTATTATTTTATTATTTATTTTTTCATTAATTTTTGATGAAGATTTCACGAAAATTGATGAAACTTTTGCGCTACAGCATGCTTCGCAGTGCGTTTGTGACCTGCCGTTTGTGCTTTGCTCTCAATTTTTTGTGGCTGCCGCGTTTGAGGGCTGAATTGTGCAGCTGTCATTTGTGCTTTTGTGCTTTTGAACTTAATTTTGTATTACTTATGGAGAGTAGGTTAAGCGGGTTGAATTGCGGTAAAGTGTAATGCGGAGTAGGCTGAAGTGGAAGTTTTAGTTTAGTCTTAAATTTTCGGCATTTTTCCATAGAAAAGAGTTTCAAGTACGTTATTGTGAAGTTAAGATACTGTGAATGTGTAATTTAATGAAAAATTTAAGTAGGCCTGAAAAGTAAGGAATTACAATCTCTACTTTGAGTTTTGAGGCAGTAGTTTTGGTACGACACCTTTATATATATATTTCGACGAACCTAAGTTAACTTGATCTTTAAATAAAACTGATATATGGTTATACAGAGAGCTTTGGAGCTTTCACAAGAGATTTCGAAGGAGGTTTTATGCCTACTTAAAACGTAACGAACATAAGATGACTTGAGAACATCGTTAAAGGTTTTTAAGATTTAGACACATATTTTCTATATTTGGAGCTTTCACAAGAGCTTTCATGGGTACTACAAGCATAAAGAATATAAGACAACTTGAGATGATTGTTAAAGTTGCTTAAGGATGAAACATTTACTTTCTTTATTTAGAGCTTTCTTAAGAGCTTTCGTAGAAGCTTTCATGTGTTTGTTTTAAAAATATAAGAACGTAAGACGAATTGATCGAATTGTTACAGTCATTAAATATTTGACATATACTTTTTTCATTTGGAAAAAAAAGCTTTGGAAAGAGCTTTTATAGCTATTAGAAATATTTTGTAAAATTTGTTATTTGATCCTTATTTTTTATTCATTACTCAATTGGTAACCTGAACAGAAATATGAAAATTTAACTGTATTAAGTGTCATTCCAGGTCTTCATTGATTTAATAATAATTCTATCGCTTTTTATGTGRTATAGGTGCTGTTTTTTTTTGTATCTACGATTCTATAGAAATTCAAGTTAACAGGAGAGATATTTATAGATGGATGCAGAAAGCTTGAACTATGTATATTAAGATTCAAAATCCCAAGTATTTTTTTTAATCGAGATTATTCTAAACTAACGGTGCTGCTTTGAATGTCTATAAATTCGATACAGATATTTTTATATATATTGTAGTTGTTTAAGTTGGAAATATGTGCATTTCATATTCAATTTTTGGTATCTCAAGAGCAACCGGTTATTGGCACTTTAAAATATGATGAGAGAGCAAATTTAATTTCCTACAGCAAGATATCTYTTCCACTTTCAGGCACATAGTTCAGAGCTCATAAAAAAGGAACGGCAAACATTAAATGTAAAAAATTGTTTCCCCCATTTCATTCAATACACAAGCTAGCTATCAACTGGTTGATTTGAAAAATTTCACAAAAAATTACTGCCACAAAAGCAACTTTCAACCTTGTGCGTAGCTGATAAAATATATACACATGTAAAGGGCAATCTTGATAAGACAATCGGCACGCGGTCGCAAGCAGCACAATATATGCTTGAGAAAAAGGGTCATGCTTTTGTGCTTTTGTAAATAAATATACCATGCATAGATATGCATTTACCAACATGTAAGCGTCTATATGAATGCGTATGGTGAGTGACATAAGCCGCCCTTAGACGTCAATAACAGACATTGAAGCAGATAAACGCACATCGACAACGCTACAAAGCTAAATGTTAACAAGCGAGATGCCAGCAGATAGGTTAAGTGAGCGTGAGAGTGAGACATTCCTTACAACACTTTCATACAAAGCTGACTTTGTATGTAGAATTTAACAGCGCAACATCTATCATTTAGCTGCTAGAGGTAGCCTAGCATTTATACGCGAATATATGTATGTGCGCACATCCGTTTCCATATTTGCTTGTTGTATTTGCCTGGCTTTTTTATGCGATGCCACGACAAGATATTAACAAATGAGTTGCAATTTTTCGCTGTCGTCTTATCAAATCATCAAATGTTTTGTGCGCGTATACAAATGAATTTGCAATGTGCGCAAACAGTGAAGGGGCGGGTGGAAGAGATATGTTGGCGAGTGCTAAAAAATACAAGGGATTGATAAACAGCGTGCAGCAAATATTGCTTCATATAAAAAATATGTATTTGAGAAGCTCGCTTTTAGGCGCATATATGTATGTATGCACAGCTGAAGGCCACTAGCGCCTGTTTTTGGGGTTAAAAAGGCATCACAGTGCTTAGTTGCAATCTTATTGAAGTGTGTACACATGCAAGATTGATATCAACTGTGCAATTCAACCATAAGGGGACCGGACTAACCATCTAATCAATGTGAGCGGAACAAATTTAATAGCTGGAAAATAAATGATTTCTGCTCGAAATATGAGTTGAAGCCTTTAGCGTGGTTTAAGTTGGAAATATTTTTTAGAGCTAATTCGATTACATACTCTTTGGCAGGTAATACATATATCATAACAATCAGCTTCATGACCAGGTGGTGGTCTTCGCTTGCCGAAATTTAATTCTCCAATTATTTTTGTCCTTGCTTGAGTTCGGCAGCATCGTACTTCCAATCCAATATATACAAATCTTAAAATCAAACATAGCACTACCTAATTATATTAAAAATTAAAAAAAAATCAAATAGAAACAGTTTTTTTGCGGGTACAATCCAATGACGTTGTTTAGACAACGTTTGCTGCACTAAAGTTTTCGGCAAATGGTTTGAACTCTCTTCTATGCTGCTTAATATCAGTCAAATAAAAGGTAGATTACTGTAGAATTAACAAGTGACCTTAACTGGACTCGAACACCGTTGATTTTATTCAGAAGAATAGCTTTTCAAAATATGAATGTTTTTCAAATCCAAAAGAAGAACTTTTCTAAATATTGGATATCTCACATATATCTAAAATATTAAGTGATGGTTCTCTAACGTCTTTCGTGATTGGTATGTAGTTAGAGTGCAGTGGAAGTAAGGGTGATCTTGATTGGATTCAGTACAGTATWTAAAACTAATATGCAATAAAGACAGATACATAGAAGCTCTCCAGTTGAATCGGCGTATTGTTGATAGGCTTAGGGATTCKTGAGACGGCAATTTGTAGGTAAATTCTGGAATTTCATTAGCAAAAAGTCTATGTACACAATTTATCAAGCAAGCATACTTCCTTTTGTCCAATGCTATATACTAAAAAATAAAAAGTAAACACTTTCCTTTGCCATTTTGTCGCACTGAAATAACTCGCACAACCGTTTAAGCAAACCACCTTTTGCCGGCAATGCGCTMAATTTTTATTAGCTACCACTGATTTATACCCATGTCTAACCGCACATAGCCACTTTTACCCTTCATTTGACTTTAATTGGAATTACACAGAACTCAATCGCATTAGAAGCAGACTTGCACGGCTCACACACACATACAAAAAGAAAATGGCATACATAAACCACTTAAGCGCGGCTCAACAATGTTCATACAAAAAGAAAATGGCATACATAAACCACTTAAGCGCGGCTCAACAATGTTAGCGACACAAAGGCCGAATGTACATATGTGTGTGTTTAACGGCAAGTTGCTAACAGGATTTGCTGGCGCAAGAGTTTAATATATGTAGCATATGTGTGCGTTTGAAGGCTGCTGCGTTCACGTATGCGCAGTTATGTCAAAGTTGAGATTGTCCATAATGATTGTTGCAGCGGAAAAAATTGCAAAATCGTAAATAAATGTCGTAAAAATGCTTTACGTTGTTACGCGACCGCCTCGTTACGTTATCAGCGCATGTGTGTGTGTTGTGTTTCATTCTGTGTGAGTGTGTGTTTAGCGCTCCAAGATGCATGTGTATCCATTGGCATACAAACTTACACTCGCAGGTTTGCGTTTTAGTTAAAGCGACTATATACCACCATTTTATGGCATTCAATTTAAACAACGGCCATACGTGCATCCACTCAACGCATTGCTCACCATTTTGTGGTGGCCATAACAACCAGAGGTATAAAGTTCTAGCAATTTAAATTTTTCGTTTCATTTTATGCCTTTCTGCTTACTTTTTTAATACCACAGTGTTGCATTTGACGTGCTATCGATTAGATCGAAATGTAAAGTTCCAATTATGGAGTGAAGAGCTGCTGTGGTGAATGGTAACATTTAAGTGCGTTAAATAAAGTTTTTTCTGATCGAGTTGGTGAGCGGATCTGCTCTGCGGAGTATGAAAATCGAGCTGCTTCAACTTTAGTCTGTTCTGGTCTAGTTGAAAGCTGGGCAGTGCAGCAGAAAAAGTCTAGATTTTTGCAGCTTAACTTTCTCATTGTAACTTTGACATGTTGCGTCCTTCAAAATCTTTAGCTTCATCGCCTGATTTTCAATGGGACAGTTTCCAGTTAGCAAAATATGGCAATGTGAAGCTTGTTAAGATATAATACTTCAATGGACATCTTGGAGACAGTAGGCTTTCGCACCCCACAAATGCTGATTGCTGAACTTGCGCGAGGATCATAAATCAAGCGTCCGGATTGATGAAGATATAGAAACATCGGCTCGTTCTCTTCTTGRTGAAATTTGGTTATACAATATTTGTAGTTCCGTTTTCTTGCTAGGCATGTAGACAAATTTTCAAGGCTGCACTCATTAACTAGATTTGAGCTCAGAAACCCATGATCTGGACGGGATGAAGAACAAAGTTAGTAAAGCGATAGATGAGGAACATATAAAATTCTTATAGGCCCTCTATAGAAGAGACTGTGGGAATATGATTGAAATACACTACACAGTGTGGTGACCACGCACGCCTACAGAATAGTGCTGACAGATCGAGAAGAYTGCAGGAAATGAGYAAGGCAGCAGGTTATGAAATATAACGGCTAAGAAATATAACGAACTTCTCTCCAAGCAATTTCTGCTATGATATTTTCATCACGTTACTATAGCACCCTATCATACTTCGGACGTACATAGCTYACTTCAGACACGCACTGACCATTATTTACTGTTATTAACATCTTTACTGATTACCTCATAGCGAAAGGCGTACTTGGGGTCAAATCACCATCGAAGACGATGAGTTCTAGTTGCCGCCAGAATCTAGAGCAACCCTTGCACAACTTCGTTCTGGATATTGTAGTAGTTTAAACTTCTRCTAATCCAGAATTGACCCCGACATACCAAATATATGTCCAGTATGCAACGACTCCCTGCATTACTCTAACCGTCTCTTTGCATGTCTGGCAAACCTTAGTCATACTTGCCTGCCCTGAAGGTTCGACACMGTCGAAACAGCACGTTTTCTGGGTCTACCGTTAGACGATTTCTAAGACAACCAACTTAAGCCKTAACACCTAAGCGGGGATTAGACCTACTCTGAAGTATTTTGTTAATGTGTGAAAGCTTTTTAACTTTTCATTTGTCATTTTTTTAGGATGGTCTTTTATTTAAGTACATATGTATATAAAAGTAATGACTATGGTAACACAGTTTATTTAAAAGAAATAGATTATATCGCACGGGAGGCTRCGTTCACTTTGGCGGTTGGAAATCAAGYGTWGCTTTTGATGTASCGGTGATGCCACGCAGAAAGAATTAATATTTCACATAGGGTTACCTTACATGTGTATATTTAGGCTTTATGAAGATTTTTAGCAACAAAATTTATGTCCTTATATAGCTCACAAAAAAAAGAAAGAGTTCTGTAACCAATAGAGAAAATTTTTTTTCTCTTATTATTACCGTCTTCAAATGACACGCATGGYCTGCGCTGTTTCGCACCAAAAAACACACGCCTGTTTTGAAGCCAATAAGTGCAGCTTCAGGCTCTAAGCCTGAAATGCCGCCAAAGCAAAAGMAAACTTTTCAGAAATCGCTAAGAAAGGCAAAAAATGTTTAAACTTTGCAACAGAAAGGTGTTGCAACATTTGCGAGCGATGGCAACAAAAATTGGGTTTGCCACCAAAAACTTGCAGTAACCACAGCAGCAGCGACAAAGTAACTGCCAAACCACGCGCGCCAACAGCAACCAATTGCGATTGCAGCAGCATGCGGCACATGCCACAATCTCACAGCTGCTGCCGCTATTGCAGAAGTGTCATTGTGAAATACATGCCACACATACATACGCACATGCATGTGTGTTTGTAAGTTTTACACGAGTTTCAGTTTCAATTTATTTTTCATTAAATTTTCGATTGTACTTTGTTGTTGCTTTAACCACTTATGCGCGTAGCCGTGTTGCAGCCAGCTAGCGGTACCGATTGCGCTGTTAAAGAAAAGTTCGCAACCAATGAAACTTGTACGCGCGTATGTAGAGCAAAGCTTTGTGGTTTGCTCAGACTCTTTGGCGGCAAAAACCTCTGGCATAAGAAGGCATTGTGTGACTTAACGCAAAGAATTATCTCCAATTCTCTTACGGTTTGTTAGGTAACACTGGATATGTAGCGATGTACATATTATATATACGGTATGAGCATGTACGCAAGCAGTGTTCACTCGGCAATACGTACAACGGAGCTTGTGACTCAAAGGAATTTTTTGTTTGTGGTAAAAGCTAAATTTGTTACTCAAAGAAAAAATGTTTTGTTTTTGTGAAAAGAGCAAATTTTTTTTTAATATTCAAGAAGTCTAGTTAGGTTTTTTGATAATTTTTGGGCGCAATTCATGATGAGCTCATAATGCAATTGTGATAACCCAGATGAGTAGTTTAGTGCAGCCGTTTGAGAAAGTTCAGTTCAATTTAATATTTTTGAAGAATTCTAGAGATAAGTACCCTCTTATAAGCTGGAGATTCCCAAAGTAATGAAAACTTAATAAAAGGAACGAACATGTAAGTGAAAAGTCGTCTCTAAGCTTGCTCTGGTGTTGAGCTGTCTCCGACTTCTCCTTTTTGGTTTCTTCCTTCCTTTCGGCAGTAGCGCCAGCACCAGCAGCTGTMGCCGAGTCAGCTGGGGTTCTTGATAGTAGCAGCTTCCTTGAAGTCACTTCTATGGCACCAGCAATAGCTAATAGATTCTTGAAAATATTAGATAAAAGATTTAAAGGAGAGAATGGGGAATGTTGTATACAAGATATTTTCAGATATACCTAGTCTGGTTCTGGATCCATGAGAATAATGACAAAGTTGCAGGTATTTGGCTTATAATTGCCTCTCAAGACTCTAKCTTCTACCGATCTCTCTGCAAACGACTTTTGTTCTGGACCAGGACCTATTTTGGTGGCAAATATTTTATCGAAAAGTTGGAAAACCGCTGTAAATTTAACGATATAAACCTCCCATTACCAAAAATCAACTGCTRTAATAGTCTTACCGAAAGATCTGTTGGCAGCTGCTCAATACGAGCAGCATGGAGAGGGACTCGAGCATAGAAGTGGATTAGAATGCTGGTATAATCAGTGCACAGATATAGAAAGCACTGTATTAAATARCTTTAATAACGTGTCCAATAACTCTCTTGTATTGAACACAATTAGCTGACTTTTCCACTGGTTTTTATGTAGATTTTTCATAACAGAACATCATCCWAATATAACGAACAGGGAACTGGTGATCGAAGTTGTGAAGTTTTATTATGTTAAGAATTATTTTTTTATTTTTTATTTTATTTTTTCATTTTACTGACGTGCCTCACAAAATTCATCAGCCACAAATTTCTTTTCAATCATAACTTCAAAACTTTGTATGATTTGCGCCAAACTGATTTAGTAATTCACTTAAGCWGTATAAAATTCCCAACATACTTTCAGGTGTGCACTGGAATTTAAGAATTTTTAAGGGAGAAAAATGCCTAAAGCAGTAAGGGGTGCACAATCATCAACAATAATAATACTAAAAGAAATTAAAAAGAATAAAATACAATAAAAACTTTTGCATCAAACTAAGAATGAAGCAGTCGAAAATTGTGAAAAAAAAACTCAGCATAACTTCACAGACTGTCGTGCGTAAGCCTAGAACAAAGCCAGTAGCGGAAGTTGATGCTTGAAATGAGTGCCAAATTATGGAGCAAACAACTTTGCTGCCGCGTTTCGTACAACTTCAGCGAAATACAGCAATTCATAACTTATTTGGAGAGTATGCTTAAAATCGCATGTATGACTCACCAACAAACAACTAGTATATGAAACTTCTTTTAGGTTTTACGAAAATCTKTTTAAATTTTCTGCCATTGTGGAAAAACTTGCTTCAGCTTCTTGGTGCAATTACTTGGCTTTGTCATATTAACAGCGTAATTTCATGYCAAACAAAAATGATGAGCGCACGAAAAGCTCATTGAGAAAAGTATGGAATGAGAGGGAAGTAAGGACAAATGACGAAGTAGTGGAGAAGTGAAAAGCTTAAATGGATGCTAGTACTTAGACGATGGACTTAAGAACATACTATATATGTATATATATATACTTATGAATTTACTAGTATGAATACATATAGTATGTCGTTTGCTGAAAGATTTTGAAAATAAGCAATGAGTTTTTGTAAATCCCGCGTGAAAGTGAAAAATGCATKGTAAATTGAATAGTAAGGGATTTATGTATGTATAGTGTAGAGTTATACCCTGAACCAATACACATTGCATTAATGAAATTTTCAAGCATGAGAGCGTAAATAGGTTTTTTAAAAGAGGGAAATACGTCTTTGCTATTTACGCCTGACGTTGAGTAGCTCTCCTCGCTCTTCCCCTACACACAAGCGAAAATGAGCATTTTTCTACCACAACTGCACCCTACAATCGGTATCAGTT